AACTTCGCAAAATACCGACCTTCGGCAGCCGAAGCCGAGCCTTGCGACGAAGAAGCGGTCTGGGTCTGCTCGTAGATGGAGAGAAGCTCGTCGTCTTCCTTGGCAAAGTAGACGGGGACGATGGTCTCCATGGCCAACATCTCCGGCTCAATCTCCATGAATTGCTTCGGGCGAGAAGGACAGGGAGTCAGTATCGGCACTGCCAAGAAGGGTACGGCTTATCGTCGTATGGTGGAGTCGGAAGACGTCGTGCTGGCTGGGGGAATTCTGGGAGTTCAACTGGGGGGGAGGGGCATTATAAAGTGGCCAGGCTTGAGAAACGGGGCACGACGTCACCTCCAACACATGACAATCCAGCCTGTCTGAAAACTTCAATATACAATATAAATAAATATAAAAATATTTCTATGTTACTTATATGTAAGGGTGTAGGTCAGTGATGGCGAACCTTTTAGAGACCCAGTGCCCAAACTGCAACCCAAAACCCACTTATGCATCGTCGAGTGCCTGGTGGGTGTTGCCCATTGGGTGGGCGTGGCCAATTGAGTAGGCGTGGTCCATTGGATGGGCGTGGCTGCGGTGGTAACAGCAGACTGGGTGGGACTAAAAAGTTCAATCAATCAATTCCAACTTTGCAAGATCTTTTTTTTCCCCGCGAGAAGTTGAAATTGACTGATTGATTGAACCTTTTTTTTTTTTGCACATGGCGGCGGAGGCCTAAAGCGAAAAAGTTTTATAAAACCCAGCTGAAGACCTAGGACTGGGGCGACAGCGCGTGTGCCCACAGAGAGGGCTCTGAGTGCCGCCTCTGGCACCCATGCCATAGGTTCGCCACCACTGGTGTAGGTCTATACCAGGGGTCTTCAAACTAGGCCCTTTTATGACTCGTGGACTTCAACTCCCAGAATTCCTCAGCCAGAGTGTCTGGCTGATGAATTCTGGGAATTGAAGTCCACAAGTCTTAAAGTTGCCAAGTTTGAAGACCCCTGATCTAATTTGAAGGAGTTTGTAAGGGTTTATTTTTTTAAACTAAACTGCGATCTCTTTTGTGCTTCAACTCTGGGGGAAGAATGGGTCATAAATTTAGTAACGACCATAGCTTTAAATGAGAAGCCTTGCTTGCCATGACAGATAGTCCTCAACTTACAGTCATTCATTTAGTGACCGTTGAAAGTTACAACAGCGCTGGAAAAAAAGGGACTTACGACCTTGTCCTCGCACGTACGGCCTCTGCAGCACCCCAAATGTTCAAAATTGGGCGCTTGGCAACCGGTGTGTGTTTACGACGTTTGCAGGATCACCTGATCGCCATCAGCAACCCTCCCAGGTTGCTCCCGACCGAGTTAGTGAGGGAATGTCAGATTTGCTTAATGACTGCATGGTTCGCTTAATGACCACTGCAGTGATTCACTTAACAACCGTGGCCAAAAGTTGTAAAATCGGGCGTGACAGACTTAACGACAATTAACCATTTCCTTAGCAAAGGAAATTCTGGCTCCCAGTTGTGATCGTCTTACTGTGATGAAAACCAGCATGGCTCAAATATAATATTAATATTAATAAAGTTGGAAGGGACCTTGGAGGTCATCTAGTCCAACCCCCTGCTCAGGAAGGAAACCTTATGCCATTTCAGACAAATGGCTGTCCAGTCTCCCTCTTAAAACCTTCCAGTGTTGGAGCATTCACCGCTTCTGGAGGCAGGCTGTTCCACTGGTTAATTGTTCTGTCAGGAAATTTCTCCTTAGTTCTAGGTTGCTTCTCTCCTTGATGAGTTTCCACCCGTTGCTTCTTGTCCTGCCTTCAGGCACTTTGGAGAATAGCTTGACTCCCTCTTCTTTGGGGCAGCCCCTGAGATACTGGAACACGGCTATCCTGTCTCCCCTCGTCCTTCTCTTCATTAAACCAGACATACCCAATTCCAGCAACTGTTCCTTATATGCTTTAGCCTCCAGTCCCCTAATCATCTTTGTTGCTCTTTTCTGTTTCTAAAGTCTCAGCATCTTTTTTACATCGTGGTGACCAAAACTGGATGCAGTATTCCAAGTGTGGCCTTACTAAGGCATTGTAAAGTGGTATTAATACTTCACGTGATCTTGATTCTATCCCTCTGTTAATGCAGCCTAGCACTGTGTTGGCTTTTCTGGCAGCTGCAGCACACGGCTGGCTCATATCTAAGTGATTGTCCACTAGGACTCTGAGATCAGGCAGAGTTCTCTGGATCTTGTTCAAACAAAAGACGCAGGGGCCCTCGCTCAGAAAAGGGGACTTACCCGGATAACATCCTGAGGCACCGAGGCCATGTTGTGCGGCAGGATGATCACCACCGCACCGGCTGACTGGCGGAGCGCTTTCTGATACTGTTCGTAAGAGAAGTCCACCAGCCGCATCATCACACAGCGGCGGCTTAGCACATCTGCTTCTACGGTGCGCGCCTCGGTGTTTAACACAGCGTTCCGGGTGCCTGCGAAAAGCAAAGGAGAGGCTTCAGCGGTTTGGGAGCTTGGATCCACAGAAAGGGGCGACTTTTGCCAGAAAAACCAAAGCTCTTGGGCAGGGCTGGGACAATTAATTTTACATAGGGGGGGGAGTGTCACATGAGAAACTGGGACTGTTGTGGAGAGGTGGACCAATACGTTGCGAAGGTACGTAGACATGAGTGCATGCATGTATGTAAAACTGACCAAAAAAATCCCCCCAAAAAACATCTTCAAAAGAAAAGCAATCCATGTAATAATAATAATAATAATAATAATAATAATAATAATAATAATAATAATAATGAGAAGGAGAAGGAGAAGCAGAAGCAGAAGCAGAAGGAGAAGGAGAAGGAGAAGGAGAAGGAGAAGGAGAAGGAGAAGGAGAAGGAGAAGAAGAAGAAGAAGAAGAAGAAGAAGAAGAAGAAGAAGAAGAAGAAGAAGAAGAAGAAGAAGAAGAAGAAGAAGAAGAAGAAGAAGAAGAAGAAGAAGAAGAAGAAGAAGAAGAAGAAGAAGAAGAAGAAGAAGAAGAAGAA